TAACATTTAAAAAGGAATATAGTCTATTATACATAACCCGCTCTAATATTTTAGAAAAACAAGAAAGAATTGAGATTGGTCTATAATTCGTAACATCGGAAGGATCACCTGATTTTAACACTGGAATTACTTTTGCAATTTTTAGGTTATCTGGAAAAACGCCTTGTTTTAGAGATAAATTAAAAATATGTAGTAATGGAATTGTAATTTGTTTTATTGATTTGATAATGACATTACTACTTATATCATCAAATCCTAAACTTTTATTGGGTTTTAATAAAGAGACTGCGTCTAGTAATTCTTTTTCTGTAAGTTTATAATTAGACATGACATTAAGGTTGGTTGAGGTTAAGTACGAACTAAAGTGTGATTGAGTAGTTGCTATATTAGATGATAAAGTAGGACCTATATTTACAAAAAACTGGTTAAGTGTTTCAGCGACTAAGGATTTATTTACAATTTGTTTGTTATTAAATTTAAGATTTAGAGGAAGTAAATTTCTGTATAAGCTTTTTTTTCCAATTACCTCCTTAATAATATGCCAAGTTTTTTTAGAATCACTTTTGTGCTTTATTAATTGTTCAGAATAGTAAAGTTTCTTTGAGCGTTTTAAGATTGACTCAAATAGCCGTTTATAGTTTTTATAGGTAGTTTCATTTTTAAGAGTTCTTTTTTTAAGAAACTTGTTATATAAGCGTTGTTTTTTTTTTGAAGATTTAAGAATGCCCTTCGTGATCCAAGGGTTTAAAAGTGTTTTTGTTTTGATTACTTTAGTAACTTCTGGGAATGCCTTGTTATAAAGATTAAGAAACTCTGTTAGGAAAATATCATACGCTTTATTGGCGTTTAGATTTAGTTTTAGGGTGTCCCAGTTAACACAGGATAGAAGCTTATAAAAATGACTAATAGAATTGTCGGTTATTAAACGTGTTTTAATTATTTTTTCCCGTTCATTTTGGGCATTATATATACATTTTTGCGATAGGATAAAAATTGGAAAGTGATCAGACACGTCAGTTTTAAATATTCCTGTTCTTATATTTTTATTTATAAATTCATTTGTTATAATTTGATCTAGGGATGTTGAACTTTCCTTAGTTATTCGCGTTGGTTTATTGATTAGTGGAATATAGCTATTTTGAAAAATGGTGTTAAAAAAGTTTTTAATATATATATTTTTTTCATAATCTAATATATTGAGATTGATATCACCAATAAAAATATACAGCTTTATTCATAGACGATTTATTTTTAATTATTTTTTTAATGTGGTTTTCAAATACCTTAATGCTTCCTGAAGGCGGTCTGTATAAACCATGAATGACGATATTTTTTGAGGTTTTGTTAATAATTTCAATACATAACGATTCATAATCGTTAGTAGTTGAACTTAAATTTGGTTTAACTTTGAATAATATTGAGTTTTTTATGTATATACACAAACCCCCACCTTCCTTATTAGATGCTCTAACTTGATGAATTACTTTATAATTAGGTAGTTGAAAATTAGAATTGTTTTCAATGTTTTTATCTTTACACCATGTCTCACTTAGACAAATTATTTGAAATTTAATGCCAATTTTATATAAAAGTTGTTTTAATGACTCAAAATTTTTTTGAATACTTCTAATATTAATATGAAGCATTGAAAAATAATTATCCTCCATTCCATTAGCAATTTTTTTAGAATTTGGGTCATAATATAAAGGGTTAATATTTTTAATTATTTCATCATTATTATAAAAATTAATATCAGGATCCGAATAGTTGTTTAATAGTATTGACTTTTTTGATACAAATGAATTAAAATTTATGTTTGTTAAAACAGTTTCATCAGCCATTTTAAATCAGAAATAACTTAAAGCAATATTAAAACTCAAAAAAGTAATATAAAAACGTAAGAAAATCATTTATCATTATTTTTTTTTTATAAATTCTCTAACAATAAGCTTATCGTATATAACAACGGTTTTGTGGAAATATTGTTAATTAAAATGTTATTTGTAGCTAAGAATGTAGGAAAACGATCCGATAAATCAGTCTGGATTATACCTGTGTAAAGAGGGTTATTATGAAAGTTGTTAGTTATGATGTTATCAAGTAGAGTAGAAGACCTATTTGTTATTCTTGTTGATTTGTTTATTGTTGGGATAAAGTTATATTGTAGAAAAGTACTCATAAAATTCTTAGTATTATTATATGAAGCATAGTTGATCAGGTTAATGTTAATATCCCCCACCAAATAAATATGTTTTCTCGAATTTGTAATTTTGTTTAAAAATGTTTTAAGATGAGTTTTAAATTTCTTTAAGTTTCCAGATGGTGGTCTATATGTAGTATTTATAATTATGTTTTTTTCTTTATTATTTACTAATTCGAGGCACAATGATTCATAATTTGTTTCATTGACGCAGAGATCGTTACGTAAAATATAATTAACTGAATTATGGATAAAAATACTAACGCCCCCACCCGCATTAACTTCACGCGGTTGGTCAATTGATGTGTAATTAACTAGTTCAAATTCATAATTTTTTTTACCGCATTTACACCAAGAGTCCGTCAAACATATAATTTTAAAGTCGTGTTTAATTTCATCCAATAAAATTTTTAAATTTTCAAAGTTTTTATTTAAACTTCGAATATTGATATTTAAAATTGAAAAAGTGTTTTTAGTTTGTCCTAGATATTGCGAAGATTCAGAAACTGAGTAGTATTGACTTTCTAGCATTTTGTGATTAAAATAATTAGAGTCGGTGTCATTATCACCGATGATGTCTTTTTCATTAGAAGATTTAAATATGACATTTTCCTCCATTTCTAAAACAGTTTAATTAAATATGCATAGTAATAATAAAAATAAAATTGCGTTAATTAATGCCAAATATTATGAAGATAAATTTTTGTTTTTCTTTGCAACCCAATCGCGAATTATCTATTTATCATAAGATATGAAGGCAAACTTACCAGCGGCTCGTTCAATTTTCATTTTCTCCCTCAAATTTTTTCTGATTTGTGTTGTTTCAAAACAGAAGTCTTCGTTTATATAAATGTTTTTCCCTTTTAGCTTACTCGACTTGCTCAAGATCGCGACTTTATCTTTAAAATCTAAAAGTTTTATCACTATTGTCCTCGGCATTTTTAATTTTTTCTTTCCAGTTCTATGGGCCCGTTCAATTTGGACATTTTTAACTGATAATATATCTTCAAAAATTTTTTTTACCTTCATTTCGCTTTCTTCCCAGCTTTCACCTTCATTTTCATCAATTCCATCTACTCTTAAATTGTTACGTCTAGATCGATCTTCCAATTCCCTTAACTTTTTTTGTATACTTTCTGAATTGTCTTCTTAACTGCAAACCTTTGCTTTCTTAACTTTTTCATCAATTAGTTGTTCATGAAAGTTTAAACTAAGTTTCAATTCTTCGATGTCTTTTTCTACTTTTTCCAACCTGCCATTAAATATTTTCAAGTTTCCACTAATAATATCAATAAAAACTTTTTCTTGTTGTTTTAACATCAACTCAAATTCTTTTTTGTAGTCCTCAAACAATTTTGTTATTTCTAATAATGTAACAGCCATATTATAAAAAAAAAGATTTGTATTTTAGAAAAATAAATGTAAAGTAATTTCGCTTTAATAAAGTCGTTTAAAAAAACACGTCCGATCGCGTTGATGTTGCGGCTAGTACATTCCCTTGCAGAAGATGCATGTAATTATTTGTATAGAGCAGAAATGAAGTTAAACAAAGACGATACCCATTTCAAAAACAAAACTGGTGAAGGGGAAATTACAGTTAATGCTATTTTAATTACAACGCAAACCAAATTAAGTAAAAAACTTTTAGAAGTCATGCTAGAAAAGGTAGAACAAATACAAAACAGTGGATATAATTATGCTTACAGCAAACACAAAGTGTTAAAATCACAACCTATTACCACTTTAAACGTACGTATGTTAAAAGAGGACGAAGAAATTTATTATACAGAATACCATAGACAAACTTCTGTGGAACCTGTTCTGATTAACACATTACTTAAAAACGGACAAACAAGATCTTTTAATCAATATATGAAAAGAGCTGCACAAGATTTAGCTGCCCAAGAAAGTAAAGAGTATAAAAAATCAAAACAACTCGAAATTAAAGACGAAAAAGATGATGATGAATTAACTTTTGATTTTATTTAAAAAAACCTGTATTTTTTTTTATTTTTAAATTTAAAATAACCAGTTATTATAATAAAACACGTTTTTTTTAATTTCCTTATAAGGTTTTAATATTCGGTCATACAGATCAACAAAAAAATATAAATACAAATCAAAACTTTTTGTATATCATTTCAAAAAAAAAAAGACTACCCAGCAAAGATTAAGTAGGCGGACCGATAACGGACCGCTGTCAGCACTTATGCCGTACCGACGTCGGCCGCCCGTTGCGTTGCCGCGTAGGCTTGCACATCGTATTTACATCGGTCCGTTAGCGGAAAACTGAACGCGGTTCGACAGCGGACCTATGGCGGCAAATCGACAACGCTTGAGCAACCGTCCGTCAGCGGCTAAACGATGATAAAGCCATTGCGGAATAGCATAGGATCTATATCAAGTTTTGACTAAGATTTGAATGCATTGATATACATATAATTATTTTTATTTTTTTGTTTGAATAGAACGCAGTTATCGTTAGCAAAAATCTTTATATCTTTCAGCTCAAATTTTTACTCATAAAAAAAAGCAAACTCTGCCAATGCCTGGAAGACACATCAAATATCTTTTGACTATGTGCATAGGTATATAGACAAAATACGAATTTATTATACTAAAATTCTCCTACCACCGAAAAACACTACCCCAACTGTAAATCAATAGGTCATACGTGGCAAGACTTAAGCTTGGTGAACAAAAAGACTAATCAGAAGATATAATAAAAATCATTTTAAGTTTACAATTTACAATTACAACATGAATATAAAACTAACAATAATTTTTTTTTAAACTAAAACAAAATATAAAGTATATTTGCATCTATAGATTATTGCTTCACTTGCGTTTAGCGAACATTTAAAATATAATATAGTTAGTTTTCAACATATCTATAAGTTCAGTTTATTCTCATTTCAATCGAAAACTAAATATATTCAGAAAACCATGTGTTGAAAATTGACTTACGTTGCAGTCTGCAGACTTCTAACTTTCACCTAAAAACAGGCAATGATATATAATGACAATATTGAAACAGTCAAGTTTAGAGCTATTACAACAAAGATAATAAACTAACCTTCTCAGCCCTTAAAAACGTGTTCGTTTGAAAGTCTGATCACCAGTTATTGACAAAAAACTTTGGATACTAAGTGCATCTACATTGAATAAATATAAAACTAATTTTATTATTTAAGCATAATTTAAAACATAAAAACAAAAAAAATATTGTTTAAATTGAAAAGCTAATGAAATAACTTTAAACAAAAAAGCTATATAAAAATAAAGTCATATTGCGTGCCTTTTTAAAAAAAATAATACTTCATATACAGTAACCTACCTGGTATACCTAATCCTATAAATGTGGGGTATAAATATGCTTGAGGGGTTTATGAATAATAAAAAAAAATTGTTATTTCATTAAAAAAATTTTCTTTAATTTTAATTTTAATTTAACAAATAAAATAGTATTTAAAAAAGAGATACTTATATGCCAGGTTGGAAGTAAAACCGTAAAACCCAAAGCAACTTAAGGGCGATGGTAACCCTTTTGCAAAGCATAAGCCTAAGACACAAGTGCACATCTGAAAAAGAAAGAATCAGAGACAGAACACATCAATAAAAATATATTTTGATAAACTAAAATATAGTTTGTAAATTGAACATAGTTTTCACCATACAAAAAAAAAACATAGTGCAATATAATATACTATAAAAACTCCTTGAAAAATATAAAAAATCAAATAATTGATTGAAATAAAACGGTTTAGTAAATGAGTATATATTTTTTTTCTAATAAATTATTTGTAAGTATATAAAGAGCAAATAAATATGTTTAAAGAAAATATGATTTAAATCCAGTGTGCAAATCAAACATCTATCTTTTACCCATGGCAATACTTGGATCATGGTCAACATAATTCTATGAAATATAACTCTGGTTGAGGTAAACGGTTTCCTGTAAAGAAATACTATTAAATCATAAATGTAACATTAAATTACAAGCGTGTTTGAACGGAATTGTTAAAGCAATCCTTTAAAATAATGGCTTGTAAAATAAAATTTTTGTTAGATTTTCATTCATCTGCTTCACTGGTTAAATACCAAGTTAATTTAGCTTTCCATCAATAACTTAATATTTTAAAGCTTATAGCTATATTTAAATTTAATATAATGAAACAAATCTACCTGTCGACAGACTCCAGAACTTATATTTTAGATTTTCTTCAAAAATAATATTAAAATAATATCAAAATAATAAAATTAAAGAAATATCAAAATAATAAAATTAATTTTACTTTATTCTCTGGTAAGATTCAATATCACGATTTAAATTCTCATCTACAATCTCATATACAAAAGGTTACTGTAAAAAGGAATGAATATGAAAAACACAGATCAATAATACTCATTACACAAAAAAACTTTACTCTATTGAGTTTAAAAATATATAAAATATTGTAAAATGAAGGTAACAAATATGTAAATAAAGTTGCTTATTTTAATTAGCAATGTGATTCATCTTCTAAACTAAATTATTTAATGGCATTGGAAAACTTGATGTAGGCATCATTTTTTTGGCCTGTTTGTTTTTTTTGTCCTGTCTAACTTTTTTTCTGCCATTGCGATCTGATGCACCACGCAAAAAACGCACAACCTCATATTGAAAATCTGATTCAGTTGCTGAAGTTGTTCCAGGATTTCTTTTTACAGCTCCTAAAAATTGATTTAAGACTTTTATTTAACTATCTAGCAGGAAAACAGAAAATATATTTTTTAACTTAATTTCAGACATATATAGAATTTTTTTTAAAGCAATTTATTAACTAATTTTATTTATGTATTTATAAATTTTTTATTTTTATATAGTTAATAAATAAATTTTATTTATTTATCAACTATTTATCAACAAATAGATTAGTAATTACTAAATTAGACACAAGTAATTATTAAATAGAGTAACAAGCCCCTAAAAAAACTACTTTTAAGCAAGTGTAAGTCTTTGTTTTACAAAGTTACTTTCATTGTCATTTATGGTAATACCAGACCAGTTAAGTTTACAGCAGAGGTTATTAGTGAATAACGCAAAGGACATTCTCTGGACAGCCTCCTTTAAAGTCTGGCTTCCTTTACTTGCCACAGCTATTATCTAAAAAAAAAATAGAAAAAGCATCAGTATTATATATACTAAAGAATATTTTTTAAAAATAAAAAATAAAAATAGATATCAAATTAATGCCATTAATTATTGCATAACATTTATTAATAGGCTTTATGTCCTTTATTTCTGTTTATAAATGATCTAGCTGGTGTACCACAAATAAAAGCTGATATAGCAAACTTATATACTTTACCATTAATTCTAATACCAGAATCAAATAAAGCAATACTTTCATTAACAAACATTTTTAGAAATTCATTACGGTCTTTTGGTTTAGACCTACTATAAAAAAGACTAATTACAAATGGGGTTTTATTGTGTTGAATATTGTTTATCCACATTTTTTATTGAACCTAATATTGGCCAAAATTGTCCAATGCTGCTTTTAAACAATGGTAAATCATCAATGTTGACTTGAATTGGTATACAATCCTTTTTCTTTAAAAAACTTAAATTATTGCTTAAAATACCTTGTCTAATGCCAATATTTAATATCAATAGATTACTGCCAGAGTTCACTTCGCAATCAATATTATTTGCACTTTAGGGAACAGCACTCTCAGTTGAAAGTTTTCGATCTGATATACTTTTTAAATACAATGATTGTACTTCTTCTGGTGAATGTGAAATATTGCTTGATTTAATGGTAAGATCTTTTAGGCAATATTCAACATCAGCTATTATCTTTCGTCGTTTTGTCCAAAAGCTCACTATTGAAACTTACATAAATTGTTTTATTTACTAAAGCTGGTACATATTTAAAAATGTATATATTATATATATATGTATATGTATATATATATATATATATAAATATATATATATATATGTATATATATATATATATATATATATATATATATATATATATATATATATATATATATATATATATATATATATAACTTTATATTAGTTTAACATTGTTCTTGTTATATTAACTTTTAACATAACAAGAACAATGTTATACTTATATGGTTATAATACTCTTACATAACTGTAACAATATTGTTAAAGTTATATATGTTTAAAATCAAATCAAATTAGAATTTTAAATTTTGAGTCTTATAAATGTATATTGAACCTATATGTATATCTATACTTTATATCTATACTAAGTATAGATATAGATATAATATATAGTAATCTATACTAAGTATAGATATAGATATAATATATAAGTATAGATGTAGATATAAATATAAACTATAAATATAGATATACATATAATATAATATATAGTAAAGTATGCTTTATATTATATTATAATATAATATATTTATATCTATATTTATAATTTATAAACAAAAATAAAGGTATAAAATCATGTAACTTTTAATATTTATAAGCAACAATTATAGCTAGGTATATTTTATAATATAAAGACTTTATATTATAAAATATAATTTAATAAATAAAATAAATCGGACTTTATATTATCAAATACACAATATAGGTTATATATATTAAATCTACAACTATACTTTATTAAAGTATAGATGTAGATTTAATATATATAACCTATATTGTAAGACTTAAAAATAAAAAGACTAATTTGATTTTTTTAATACTATTTATTTATTACTTACTGTTTTACATAGACTATGTACTACAGTATAAAATATAAAAATCAATCGATGTAAGTCTCGTGGCGCTTGAAATGCTTATATTTGGTGTTTTTACGACATCTTAACGTTATCCGGGAGCCAACTCGGGCATTATGTTGGCAAAACTAAAGCGTATCGACATAAACTTACCGAAGCTGGCATGCCTATTTTAAATCGCATTGGCAACGAGGTGTTTTATCGCTCTTCGGCCGATGGCGGAAAGTCAACACAAATTAGCATGCCGGTCCTACATCAGCTACCCGGCAGCGGTAAGCCGCATTAGGAATCACAAAGGGCCAGCATCGGCATTCCGGCGGCGGCTTTGCGCAACGCGGTCCGCTGAAAGCATGTTTGCTTTGTAGCAAACAGGTTGAACAATCTTTAGAAAAAGCAGTAAAGTTGTTTTATCCAGACAACGAACTTCATCCTATGTTACAAGAATTTCATCATATGGAAAACAGTTTTGAAGATTGGATAATTATTATAAACGATTAAGCTAACTAAATGGAATTTACAACTGCTGTTACCAGAAGAAGAATATATTGATTTGTATTTCATTTTTATCATCAAAGACTATCAAAATCATCAAAATTTATTTGAATAAACTACGCGTCATTATTTTTAATTTAATGAACAAGGACCAAAATCGAAATTAGAAATGTACAATTTTTGTAAATTGATTAACAATGATTTTTTAAAATGTACTGAAAAAAATGTAGATGATAGATACAAAGAATTGAAAGATAAAACAAATCATTTTATAAAAATATACAAGAGATATTATCGATGCTATATAGAAAACAAATGCACGTCTTGGATAAATAAAATAAAATTAACTTTAAAATATTATTTTTTGTTTCCTATTTAATCAAAGATCATTTATACGAATACGACTTATTAAACCGTAGCAGTTTGATTTTGTTGGAAGGTTATCCTTCTTGTTTACAAAGAATGGTGTTTTCGTACAACAATAAATTATTTCATAACGGATTTTATACTCTTTATACGCCGTCAACCATTTATAACTATTTTAAAGTTGAAAAAGTAAAAACTATTAACGATAAAGCCTACACATACAAATCGTTTAATCAATGTAATTTTAACGGAAAATCAATTATGGAAATGTTTCCTTATGCTAATTGGTTTTATTTTTAAAAAAAAAATTTTTCAATTTCAAAAATTTTAAATAAACGAGACAATCGACTCTACAACGTTATGAAACAAGAAATTGTCAACGATAAACCTATTCATAAAGCTGAACATTTTAATATGTATTATATAAACGCAAGGGAATGTTTTTAAAAACAAAACTTTATTTTTTTTATTTTTTTATATTTACTGTATAATATGTTTTATTTACAAGATATACATTATTAAAACATTTACAAGTTGTTTCATTGACTTCTTCGCATCGATTATTTTCACGTATTAGAATAACCAAATCTTTATATTGCTCTCTTTTTTTATTATTACCTTTAACATAGTATATAAAATCAAATAAATAATTAGGCAACATTTTAGTTTCGTATTTGCAACAATGTTCCATATGAACCATACTAAAAAGATCACCAACAAAATGAGCTTTACAAAATATCGTAAAAATAGTTCATGAATTTAAATTTGGGAAATGCTAACTCGTTAAGGTCAAAAAAAATAAACATTTTCATAACATTTTAAAATTAAAGCTTCCATATTGCCACCTTTATATAAAACCAAATTTAATGGATATTTTCAAAATGTGTTCCCAAATAATCGTATACATCTGTACAAAAAATACTTTTAGATGATGATATCAGTATACCAGTATTTAAAAAAAAAATAAAAAAATAACAAAACTTTTTTCTCTTATAAAAAAAGGGAAAGGGAGGGATTAAAAATAAAAAATACAAAACTTGAGGGGGGAATTTCAAAAAAAATGAGAAGTGAGGTAGTCTTATAAAAAAGTAAAAAAAAGGGGTGTAAGGGTAGGCGTCAGGGTAGGAGGCAGGGGGGCGAAAATATAAAAACTCTAAATCAAGTGTTAAGCAGGTAGCTAAAAAAAATCAATGTTATTGGTGTAATCAGTGTGTGTGAAAATAGGCGTTATCAGGTGTTAAGAGGTGTTAAGGAGGTGAGCGTTGAATTTATAAAAAATATATATAAAGCGTTAAAATATGTTAAATAAAAAAGTAAAAAAAAAATAAAAATTTTATTTATTTCACATGTGTTTTTTAATTTTTTTTAAAAAAAATGGTTCGAGACAAAAAATCTGTGCGACATTCTGTACAATATATAAAAGAACAAGAGGAAAACAAAAGATACGTAGCCGATTTGTTTCGTCGTTTAAAACAACCTAGCGCAGACGCTCAACATAACTCGGACGTGGATTTTGTTGTGGTAAGAGGTAGCGATTCACCTAATACTCGATCAGGGTTAATGTGCAAAAGAAAAACAAAACAAAAATATAAAGATAACAAACAAAATAGAAAGAGTGGACGAGTTAGAAAAAGTGTATATAAATGGGTATTGACATAGAAAAGTTTAAGGTATATTATATGTTTAGTTAATGAAAATAGTTTTAAATAAGTTAACAATAAAAAAATTGATTATCAAATTGCATTATGGCGCGTACAAAAAAAATATTAAAAAGTGAGTTATAAGAATTATACAGAGTATACCATCGGCACGGTGGAAAAATTGCAAATCAATGGCGTCAATTAGGTCGACAGCCTAAAGTTGTAGTAAACAAAATGGATAGTAAAGAAATTGCAAATCGAACAGTAAAAAAGCTGGATTGCAAAACGGTTTGGTACAAAAAACGCGCAACAAAACAAAAGTATAAAAATACAAAAAATAATATTAAAAACGGGGTGGTAGGAGATATAGTACATAAATGGGTATTAACAAAAAGATAAAAAAATAAAAAAAGTTGTCATTATGGTATTGTTTTTTTTTTTAAAAAAAAGAATTTTTATAATTAATAATTTTACAAAATAATAATATTTACAAAATAAATATTTACAAAACAAAAACATCGAAATAATGTTCTAATATTTTAGTGTTTATAATTGCTATTTTTTGATCACTCGGTAGGAGTTCAAAATATTTTAAAAAAGTTTTTTCTAGTCTATTTACAATATATTTTAAGATATCGATTTGCGAATCATCGGGTTTTAATTTTTGTAATTTTAAATCGTGTTCAAGTAATGATTGCAGCATCCCCATTGTCATGCGAACTAATTCGTTTGTGAAATCGATTTTATTGAAATCGATTTTTTTGTTTATCTAAAAAAAAATTAAATTATTTTTATTTTAAACATTTAGATGAAAAAAAGACAAAAAAGAGATACGCATTACAAAAACACCAAGCGAAAAACTCGAAAAAATGTAAAACGAGGAAAAGGATTGGCTATGTTAATAACAGTGGACAAAGCACTTTAGCTAATTCGCTTTATAATAAAATTAAACTAAAAAAGAAAGAAACGCCTGTAAAAACGCAAAAAACGCTAATAAAAACGTTGTCTACTGATATTTCACAAATGTCATACGAAGAAAGACAAGCTTATTATAAAAATTTGTAACAAAAAAATTATTTTTTTTATAAATAATAAAAAAAGCATACAAATTATTTATTTAAAATTTAAATCGTCATCTGACAATTCTTCTTGTTTGCTCGAGTCTTCTGATATTCTTTCTTGTTTTATACAAAATGGTTCATGCATCGGATTGTTATCATTGCAAAATGGTTTTTTTTAATTTTGTTTTTTATTTCATCGAATATTTTCATGTTTTTTTCGTAATTGACTCTTTTTTTTCTTTCATGTGCCAATGACGCTTTTCTTAGTTGTTGTTGATATCTTTTTTTAAACACTCTGATTTGAATTTGGTTATTTTTAAGTTTGGTCAAAAGTTTATTAATTTGTAATAGTGCGCTTGAGTTTTCAGAAAGTTGACTAATCATATTATCTGGATTTCGTTCAGTACTAAAAAATAAAAAAAAAAAAAAAAAAACCATACAAGTAAATAATTTGTTTTATGGTAAATTAAAAAAAAACACTTACTTAATGACATAGTAAGATTCAAGATCGCAACGAAAATTAATCAAAAGGTTGATAGCTTCTTCTTAAATTGTTTTTGCTAATTTAATTTGTATTTTTAATAATTTTTACTTATCTGTCTCTAAATTT